CAATTAGACTGATGGTCACTTCACAAAGTGGTCGATGATATATCCAACCAAGAAAAAGGACTAGTCTTGATTAAATTATTCGCTACTACATCCATACATTGATGAGTTTTGAATGAAATGAAATCCCCATTTATTGAGTTAATAAGTATGACTTTTGAAATTAAAATTCTCCATTATCGTATTCCTATATTGTACGTTTGACAGGTAAATAAATGAGCTTTTATGAAGTATGTTTGTAAGTTGATCTGGTCAAAATGATCAATAAATGAATGCTATCATTTTTGTTCTAGTCTTCTCTAGGTATATTTAACATATCATAAATTACACTTGGCAATCATTTATTATGGTGCAATGATTAGTCTACCGACGTAATTATTTACTTATCTTAGTACATAACACCTAATTTTGAGTAAACATGGGAAAATTTATATCCCAACCACCCGGAATCTGGTTACAATATTTCCTAAAAGCAGATATTATATCTAAAAGAAAGTAAACAATAAATTTCGTTACTAGTTAATTGATTGGAATAAAACGCATTCTATTATCTTTATTATTTAGATCGACTGTTAAGATAAACATGGCGAAATAGGTGATTACTTGATATGCTGTTCATATTTTTGCTGATACTATTTAATGCTTGTGAAATTAAGCTTATAAATAATCTTTCACTCTCCATAGGTCTGTATTAAGAAGATTTTAAAGATAACCTTAGAGTTATTTCCATGTTTAATTACAATTGTTGTAGCTTCGAACATTTGGTTTAATACCATACCAAGTTACAAGCATGTATTTCATTGGTAGGTTTTCACCCAAAAATATTGATTTGCTGGATAGCTATTAGCAACTCTTGTAGTTTTAAGAGTTTTTTTAATTTTCATGTTATTGACAATCTAGGCCTCACTTCGATTTGTTTCTGTCAGTGTAAAGGATCATTAATTGTAGTTGTAAATTGATTAAATTTTGAATAATAGTGATTACCATCACTCAGTCGCCTTGTAACAATCGCTCTGGCATTTTTGCTAGTGAATCTAAGGTTTGAATCTTTCTGTAAATATCATTACTTGTAAGATTCAGACATATGCATCTGACGAGTTCTAAATATGATAAATTAGGCTACCTGAGTTCAATTGCTAATCACTTTCTAAAATATTAATATAAAACATTGTCCCTAATAACTACATTCTAATACCATTGTTTGTATGCAGTGTCTTCTATATCAAAGAAATAGCTTCTTTGTATATAACGTACAACAATACGAATTTTTTTATTCTTTATCGATTTTCAGTTTAGTAGTCATAAAAGTCAGAAAAATGAGTTGGTTCGTTGGAAACATAAAGTTAAATTAACAGTGACATATCAAAAATTTGATAAAATTCGTTTCAAGTCAATGAGCATAAGTTTTTAAAAAGAAGATGAATTAGGAGTGAACAATGAAACTTGCTTGCTTTTTGTTTATGATGAAATCAATGTCGTTAATCTATTTTCTTTGATTGTTAAATGTAAAACGCAAATGGAAATATGTGTAACATTAGTAAATAGATTGCTGTGACTGATCATTATACGTTCACAACAGTATACAGTTTGTGATATAGCAATGAACATAAGGCATTTCTGCAATCTTTAAGTGAAGTGAATTTGTTTGGCGTGCTGTTTCTAAAGCCCCTTAAATTTGTGAACATGGAAATATGGAACAAACAAGTGAATGGGCCTAACATTCGAAGTAATGAGAAGTGGAAATTTAAAAAAAATACTTCTGAATGAATTTAGATAATTCTATCAGTTCAGCTAACCGTATGTGATTATCTCTTGGGTTTAAGGCTAGTATATGTAATAAACTCTAAGATTTACTATTGAAATTTATTTCTTTTTACTTCAGGTCTTTATTTTAATCCTTGGATACCGTCAATTGTAGGTAGTTTAATTACTAATAACTACAATTTGAAGAGCTAGGAGAATGCAATATGTTATTTTTAGTTGAAACTGAATATCATGACTCACTATTAAAAAGAGATATTTCTGATTTGTCCATTCAATATGTGAAAATTCTACACAGTTTTCTTTTGATATAAAGGTTACTTTGTATATTTGGAGTGCCCCCTGACCTTGATGTTGGTTGACAGTTGTTTTGAGTTCCAGATGTTCTTCAGTTTTAAATATACTGCTCTTGCTTTACCGATTCAAGCCTTCACATCTGCATCAGATCCACCATGTTCATCAATGATGTTGCCCAAATATGTTAAGGTTTTTACATCTTCCAAATCTTCTACGTCAACTGTGATTCGATTGTCGCATACCTTTGTCTTATCGGAAAATCTTGCTTTTCCGTTTGTGTATGTTGATACCTACTGCTATTGAGGCTGCTGCTACACCAGTCGTTTTCTCCTGCATTTTTTGTTGCGTTTGCGATAGAAGGGCCAGATCATCTGCGAAGTCTAGATCGTCCAACTGCATCCTAGATGTCCATTGTATCCCGTGTTCCCCTTCAGATGTTCACGTCTTCATGATCCAGTCGATCATCAGGAGAAAGAGAAAGGGTGAGAGTAAGCAACTTTGCCTGACACCGGTCTTTACTTCGAACGACTTTGTCAATTGTCCTTCATTTGTGTGAGAATATAGTGCCTCCTATGACCAGTTTATTGAAGGCAAATAGGTTTGCAAATCTCTCACCATTTTCCTTCCTTCTTCCTGTCTATGTCGTCTCATGATGTCTTCATATCCAGTGTTGTCCGTTCCAACCTTGGCATTTGAATCTCCCATCAGAATGGTCAGGTCCTTTGTTGGGCACTTCTCAATGATTGACTGCAGCCTATCGTAGAACTGATCTTTAGCGTCTTCATTGTAGTCGTTGGTAGTCACATAGCATTAGATGACGTTCATTGAAATGCCCTCTTTGTTTTGAAGGAAGCTTTGATGACCTTTAGTTCATGAGATTCCCATCTTATATATGCATTTTGTGCTTGTGTGGACAACATCAATGCAACTCCTTGTTAAGATGGGGCGTTTCCGTTCTCGCGGCCAGAGTACAACAAAAGCTCTCCTGAAGCTAGTCGTTGTTGTCCAACTTGCGTCCAATGTGTTTCACTGACCCCAGGCACCTCCAGGTTATATCTCCTCATTTCTGCAGCAATTTGGAAGACTCTACTGGTCTCCCACAGTGTACGAGCACCCCATGTACTTAAATAAATGGTTGCTCTGGTTTTCAGAAGGGGCATCGGCTTCATGACTTCTGAAGGAACTCGACTTTCATCATGAGATGTCATAACTCTTCTAAATGAAAACCTTCTGACTCGCATGGCAGAGTTTAAAAGGTTTGACTAATTTTTTCTGGTTAGCGTTTTTTCTAGCGAGTTAGTTTTCTACGGGATGGGGTCGCTATCCCCCTGCTTAACCCTCCTCTTTTATCCGGGCTTGGGACCAGCAGTAGCCCCGGAGGGGCTTCAGGCGGATCCAAATATGATATTTATTACTGTTTACTGAAATAAACATTTTTTTCTTTTTCTTCTGAGCAGTAGAATAATTAATCCTTTGTTTCGTTGGGTAGTTTTGTCGATATCTATTTGATCGAAAAATAACTTTCATTTCGAGCTTAGACTAATTAAATAACGTTCAAAAACAAGGGGTTATTAGACAATTATATCAGTGAAGTTTATCTGAATCTTTCGTCAGGGAGATTATGATTGTTAAACCGAAGCAATATGGATTCTGATACGTCTGAGCAACCACGATCGACTGGTTAGAAAAGATCGGCCATATAAAAATTCTTTCTATTATCCTTTGGTTTCCTCATGGATAGAATTGTTAGAATCGGCTCCAGTGAATAAAAAACTTAGAAATACTAATTTATTAATATCTTACTGTGAAGACAAAGTACTAGCTCATCTATGGAAGGACTCTAGTTTCGCTACTGAAATTAGGTATGCTGAAGCCGTACACATGGCTAAACAATCTGTCTTGTTTGTTTAATAGAACTTCATAAAGACTAACTTACTACTTCTTTCTTTACAAAGGAAATTAATTACATATTGGTTCAACATTATGTCTTTCCTGATGTTTCAATAATTACATAGTTGATATAATGATAATGCATATAAAACGTTCTAGTGGAATACTTTAGAAACCCATTTCGCAGCACATGGAGGAAGATTTACTTAGATAATTTTATAATTTGTTCATAAGTGCTTTTGAATATCTGGCTTCAAATGCCAGCTAGATAGTATGAGCTCCGTTTTGCGTGAAAGATTTATTCAGTAATGTTTTTGAATTATAACACATTTCAAATTATACCAATAGTTATGCTGTAGATATTAACTGACAAACATGTAGAATAGGTTCGTACAACCAGTGTAATGGAAGGCGTATACAACTGCATTGGATAAAATATTTTCATTCACTTTTCTAACTTATTTATTCAAAAGAAAAGCAAATAAAAATGATGTGATCTTATATAACATTACATAATTGCTAGTCTTAATTTGTTGATAAAGTAATAATATGACAACTATTGTAAGTAGTACGACATCATGTTACATTGTCTTTTTACGTAGGGTGGTTGTAAACCATCTGATGGTAGCCATAAATATATATTTTACATTACTTAACTGATATTATTGATGAAGAAAAGATTGAGTGAAGTTGATTACTACTTAGTGGCCACTTAGTATAAATATCACAGTCATGTAAGAGTAAGAATAGCTCAATGTTATTTCCCCTGTAATATACAATGGATAATTTTTGAACTGTCCATGAATCATTATACTCTTCTTTCCGATGACCATCGACATGCATAAAATAAGGGTTCATGACATCCTGATTGAAGCACTCAACTATACTAAACGAAATGTAGAATTATGTACATTTAAATGTATCATATATAATGCTGATAGAAAACTGTTGAAATATAATCTCTGTTTCATTAGGTCAGAATAAATGTATTGAAAAGGAAACATTTAATCAACTATAACTAGTAACTCAATGACTTGATTGTTTGAAATATTATTTATGGAAATAGTTCTCTAAAAGTCTATGGATTAAACATCTTTATTTTTAGAAAGGAAGGTGAAAGATTTAAATATAATACTTAATCAACAAAGTGTTTTTTAAGTCTATGAAATGTGAAGTTTATTTATCAAATGAAATTTGTGAAGCATAATTATAAAATCAATCTTCAGGAAGGGAAGAAATCAACCTTACCAGACTAATAGGATGCAGTTATTTGAAATGTTTCATGAATCGTCCCTGCAGTAAAAAAAAAACGTTGTTTTTAGGCATATGTTTATGTAATGAATGAACTTGTTTAGCGTTCATTATAGAAAACTCCTGGAATAACTCATTTGCATGAGAAAATTCAGCCAGTTTACTTATGTTTATATAGTTATTCAAACTTTCATTAACAAAAAAAGGTAAATGTTTCTTTTATGCTTGATTCTCTTCTATGTTCATAGGTTTTATTTTCAAATCCATGTGAAAATTAATTACTCAGAATATTTCTTGTAAACTATGATTAAATTATTGTTCATTTCATAGTTAACTATTCAGTCATTTGAATTCCCTTGGTATTGTTTACTTGAATCTTCCCTATTGATGATTAAGACTGCAATTGATCAACCTCTTATTGGCATATATGCATACTGTGAATATTGTCTTGATTGTAAAAGTATCATATACTTTATTAATGAATTAGATCAACTTATTATTTATGTATAGTTAACATAAAGTCTGATCCCGTTAATGAGAAATGATTCAATCACTAGATTCTCAGATATAAAGTTATATGTTTGAATGTCATTCTATTGATTAAGACTAGGTTGATGTGGCATTAAATATGATTAAAAGCTGAGTGTATAATATGTATAGTTGGTTGTTAATTTTTCAAAGTTACATTATTAATAATGTTGTGATCTAAAATAATAATTTAATTAAATTACATTGATATGATTATTATCTACCAGCATATTAAAAGTATTTTATAATTTTAATAATAAATTCAATTAAAACTATTTAAGGTTAAATTAAGTTAAAATTCAAATGAGTGACACTATTCAAAAGTAAATTTATAAGAAATATATTTATCTTTTGTTCATTTAAATAAATCAAGAACAATTTGATTTACTCATAGTAATTATTAACATAAATATTTAATAAAAATGGAAAATACAATAGATTCTAGAATAATTTACAAAATAGTCTGTGAGATTATTACAATTTATTAAAGATTTCGAACCAAAAGGATTCGAACCTAGGATCATCGATCTCGTGCACGAATGCTTAAACTCAAGACCACTGAGCTAGTATTCAATGGTGGTACTGTCGAACTTCAACTAATCCACGAAATTGAGTGACACATCCACCATTGCCTTTAATGAGTGGTGATTGCACCCAACTTCGCTGCCATCATTATTCAAGGGGTAGTAGATTGGTTTCTTTATTTAAGAGTTTAATTCAGATGAAAATATAAGTATTAAGAAGAACTGAAGATTAAAATAAATGAGTAAATTTCCAGTGTAAGGCGACCAAGAAGACATTATCATCAAATATGATAGCAATACAAGTAGTGAAACATCAAGTATGAATTTTGGAACATTGCTATTTATATCCATAGGCTTAACCTTAACGTAAGCTAATAAACAGAAGTTTGAAACTCTATTGTAGACTGTTGTTTAACAGTCTAACTAATAAACTACTTTGAGAGAAAACGTCAAACGAATTTGAGATGATACATGTACGAATAATAAAATTTAAAGACATAAACTTTTATAATACAGAAAAATCAGTGATCTGTAAATCCTGAACAAAATTGACGTTTTAATACAGTTAAAGTCGTAGTTATATCTTCCATTCAGAAAGAAATGAATTTTATCATTTTGATTACATCAAACTGGCTTCAATAAGTATTTCCTGAAGTTCTAGTGAGAAGCAGTAACCAATGGATTCCAACGGGGTCTGTTGTGATAGTAACTCACTGATGACAATGGTGGACGATGGCGCAATCTCATGCATTGGTTGAAGTTAAACAGTAACACCGTTGGATATCGGCTCAGTGGTCTAGAGATTAAGGGTCCGCACACGAGATTGAAGATCTCGGGTTCGAATTCCTTTAGTACGGGATCGTGGATGCGCACTGTTGAGGAGTCCCATATTAGTACGAAACGGCCGTTCACTACCTCCAGGTCTAGCCTCAATTAACACATGAATTCAACTATTAAGTTACCACATTATCCACAAAACCCCTTTCTGATTAGGAATACAAAACCACCTTTACAAAATTAACGGTTAAATCTTAGAAATAATGTGAACTGTAATATAATTTTCATTGTAGTGGATCTATTTCAACTACTCCAGCCTATACTCTGCCGTGGATTAGCATACCATGCTAGATTCGAATTTATAAGATAAATTGATAGTTAGAGATACGTCATCTGTTGAATATTTTACTGTCACCAATCAAAAACTCATACTAGTAAATTAGCTGGCATTTTAGTTGTAACAAATTGATTAATTGGATCTTATAGTAAGAAACTGGAACTATACCTATCTAGCCCCCAAATGCCCTGGTATGGTCGAGAGTGGGTTGTGCTCACCCTCCCTCTCGAAATGCTCTCACACGGCCACGTGTATACAGCCTCTGCCAGGGAAGTCCTGCTCACTGCCTTCTCGTGACATTACTGTTGTTTACGAAAATGAGAGGACGAAAAGCGAATGTCCGGCGCTTTAACCGGATTCCAAATCAATGGTGCACATAGGCTCCAGTACAATGGCGGGACAAATGGCGTATGAACCAATCGTTGTTCACCGGCTACCATGAGACTACATCTCCTTACGATGCTGCACTGCCTTGTGGGTCAGACCTTCAAGTCAAAGGCTCGGGGTGTGGACCCCTAAGATAACCACCTGCTTTGGTCTGAGCACCCGGGCAGTATCACAGCCCTCACACAAATATGGTGAACTGTTGATAATTATGGGAAATACTTGTCTTGCTTCGATTAACAATCAAACGATTCACATTATTATTATTATTATTATTATTATTATCATTATTATTACTATTTACGCCATTTATTCACTCTCTTTTATTCCCACTCTGTGTATCCTTATTTTTCGACTTATACAGTAGCTTGTATATGGTGGAAACACGGTTCTATCTAAACGTTCTCGAGTCATTGTTCGGTTGAAAATTGTATGTCACCACCGAATACGAGAACTGAAGCAGTTTTTCTGAAACCACGTGCACCATTCAAACTGGCTGCCTTCAACGTTCGCACACTTATGCAGGTCGGACAACAGATAGAGCTGGCTATGTCTTTGGAAAGTCCTAATATCGATGTTTGCTGTCTATCCGAGACCCGTATTCAAGAATCTGGTGAAGTACTACAAATTCGATCTCCATTTGTTTTACGTGCACTTATCCGGGGACCCTGTGGCATCTTCGTCTGGTCTTGCTGGCGTTGGTGTCGCATTAAGCACTAGAGCTGAGACAGCACTAATCGATGAGATCCCCATTAACAGTCGGTTATGTGCTGTTAGATTAGAGAGTTCCATCAAAGTGAGAAGAAATCGGCGTGAGAAACGATGTCTTTTCGTCATCTCCGCCTATGCTCCGACAGATTGCAGCCCGGATGCAATCAAGGATGAGTTTTACCACCAGTTATCCGTTCTTCTCCAGAAAGTGCGTTCGACAGATATTGTAGAACTAGCCGGAGACTTGAATGCTCAGGTCGGGCGTCTAGGCACAGAAGAGAGTCGTTTAGGTGGCCGATGGGGACTTGTTGGTTGCAGGTCAGATAACGGGGACCTTCTACTGCAACTGTGCACAGACCACAATCTGTTTCTGTCTAGCATTAACTTTCGGCACAGTCATCGCCGATGTGCCACCTGGCGTCCTCCCTCTGCATCTCAAGGCTGGACTCAGATTGATCACATCGCGATCAGCTACCGCTGTCGTGGTTGTGTACAAGACTGCCACTCCTTTTGGAGTACCTATCTGGACTCTGATCATGCCCTGGTCTTTGCCAGTCTTACCTTACTTTTCAGTGGCCAACGAAGTGGCGCATCTATATTTGGTGCCCTCTTGTACCAATATTTAATTGTTCAAATAAATAAATAAATAATACCTATCTGATAATAACATGATATACGCAATCAGTGGTACTTTCAAGTATTAACTTATTTATCAGCGAGTTACTTCCTTGATCTGTCTACCTACTAATATACAGAAAATAACTGGTCTCAATCTATATCAAGGCCTTGACACGATAGGTTGACTTGTTCAACATTGAGGCTAGCAAGGCGTGAGTTTGAAGTGAAACTAACTGCCTTGAATAGAGAGATGAAAACTATCCTGTCACCTAATTGGTTGACAAGCCTTCAAGAGAGAGAGGACTATTCAACTGGAAACTACTTGATCTATTCCAACTCCGATTCGGAATAATATAAAAAGATACGTGAATAATGTAAATGACTAACATGACCACAACACACACTTACTTATTTACTTACGCCTGTTACTCCTCGTGGAGGAGCACAAGCACTCTCCATCCAACCCCGTAATGGGCAATCCTTTTCGGCTCTTCCCAGATGTTATTAATCCTTTTCATATCTGCTTCTATTTCCCGACGTAATATGTTCTTTGGCCTTCTTCTTTTCCGCTTCCCTTTAGGACTAAAAGTTAGCGCTTGTCTCGCGATGCAGTTTGATGATTTGCGTAATGTATGTCCTATCCATTTCCATCGTCTTTCCCTAATTTACTCTTCAGCTGGGAGTTGGTTTGTTCTCTCCCACAGAAGGCTATTGCTGATGGTATCCGGCCAATGAATATTGAGTATCTTGCGAAGACAGCTATTTATAAATACTTTTACCTTCTTGATGGTGGTTATAGTAGTTCTCCAAGTTTCAGCTCCATACAGTAGAACTGCCTTGACGTTCGTATTGAGGGTTCTGACTTTGATATTGGTTGAAAGTTGTTTTGAGTTCCATATGTTCTTCAATTGTGGGAATGCTGCCCTTGCTTTGCCAATCCTTGCCTTCACATCTGCATCTGGACCTCCTTGTTCATCGATGATGCTTCCCAGGTATTTGAAGGATTCTACATCTTCCAGAGTTTCGCCATCAAGTGATTGGATTGGTGTTCTCCGTGTTGTAGTTGAGAACCTTGGTTTTCCCCTTGTGTATGTTGGGGCCTACTGATGCAGAGACTGCTGCTACACTGGCTGTCTTTATCTGCCTTAGTTCGTGTGTATTCG